TGTTCAAATACAACTATATATATATATAGTTGTATTTGAACAAATCGTTGTATAACTATATATATATATAGTTGTATTTGAACAAATCGTTGTATAACTATATATATATATAGTTGTATTTGAACAAATCGTTGTATATTCTAGTATTAGAGAGAACACATCAATATTTCTGATCAAGTTTGATTCATTATGCAAACATAGAGGCGTAATTCTGCCCAACAGGTTGGATGCACACTGTCATCTGTCAACACTAGCACGTGTTGCTACCTTTTGACTTCATGACCCACTCTCGCTGACACCTGACACCCCTGCATCGTCCTCTAAGTCAACGACCTCGGTGCCCCATGTCATTGGTACTATGTACTTCATCAACTGGCTTTTTTTAAACGTGACTAATGAGAACTCTATTTTCTGAATACGAATCACTTAAAGTTGTAAACAGTGAACGCAATCGAAATAAATGTTAACGTTAATCTAACGATCGTTAGAAACAATGTGACAAAGACTTTTACAAATATCCATTTGAGCCGTTTATTTTGAAAGTGGCCTAAGTCATTTTTCAAAAACACCGAGCTAGCTATTTTAATATTCACATTTCTACGTTATACATATAATTTCATGTCAGCAAAGCTGAAAGAACGTAGTGACCCTTAAGAACACAAAAACATTATACCACCATGTTATCAATTAGCAATATTTTTAAATTTATTAAAACGTAAAAACCTTAAATATCTGGATTTTCAAATAAATGGTCTCAGTCCACTTTCCAAATAAACGGCTCATTTGATGTGTGGAGCATCAACCCTGCCACAGATGACTAGCCTGACGTGCCAAAAGACACGTTGTACAGTATTGTTAGACGATAACTCATTTAAATGCAGATAGATATATGTGATTATTTCATATTTATTTGAACAAATTTTGTTCATATTTCAGAATATTTAATTACACAAGACTTGACACTTGAAACCTTTCATTTATGACTTGGTTGCTCTGTGCGCCTATCATTTATCCCTTCTTTAGAATGCCGATTTTATGCATTTATGGTACATTATGTACATATGTTATATTATTGTAACTGTATTAAAACTCTTGGAAGAAAGAATATAATTTTATTTAACTCCTGTTTTTCTTGCAATGAATGCGGACAATTTTTATTTTGTATAAAAATTCGCAGTTTACTTATTAAAAAATAGTTTTAAATGACATTTTATTATACTGGCTTTATTCGTTCCTAAAGAGATAAATTGGCAGGAAAATGTTATGCAAAACATCATTGTTTGAAATCTAGGATCTTCGTAGTTCTGAATTAGATTGAATGTGATTCCCAAGTTCACCGTTCTTATAACATAGAGGTCGTTAAAATCACTGGCATTTTAAAGGATCGGTACTACAGATCCCTAGGACACATAATTCCCGAATATGTATTGTTAAACAAACACGTTAAATATCTGATTATCTTCGTAAATATCAATGTTTATAATCCATATAAAATATTTCACATATTTCCTGATATTATATTTTCTAATATAAAATCTAATTTCAAATTCGAAAATGATTTTCTACAATTCGAGTATACATATAATAAAATTTATACTACACGGTAATTGTTGAAAATTTCGGTATTATGAAACTTCGTAAAACAGATGATAATCTGACTATTCTTCAATGAAATAATTATTGCCGAAAAATGCAAAAAATCAATCGATATTTTTAATATTCCCTTTATTGAAAATTCAAGGTTATAAGAATTGGGGAGCATCTTTAAATTGTTACATAGTTATTAATAATCTATTTAAAGAGTAACTTGCTCGCCCCCTGACACAAAAATGTCAGAATTATGCATTTATTCCTTTGCTCTTGTCAGTTCAGTATAATATTTTTGATTTGCAAAACAATTTATTTTTTCTTTTAGACCGCGAGACGCGACTAGCAAAAAACATCAATCAATACAAAATGTTCTCTGAATCATACAAAGTTAACAAGGTATATCGAAAATGGACATTGAAACTAATACTTGAAAAAAACAATGCCATCGATTTTATACAATAACTCTTACAAGCTATTTCGTTTGCAAAATAGCTTTCAAAGGCTATTCCTTTTGTAGAATTGATTTCAAAGGCTGCTTGTCCGTAAAATAGCTCTTAGAGGGTGCCGAAAAAACATTCTTTGATCAAATCATATCAGATTACTCGCGTAGATAACTGTAAGCGGCGAAATGTGCAATATCTACAAGAGGTGACATTTTCCATAATGCATTCGTGATCGTTTTACTCCTCTTTCATGTTTTTTGGTTTTATAATATCTTAAGCTGTATCTTGGGTAGGATACGTCTTAGGTAACAACACCCCTTGTGCATGGAAAACCTTTTTTCTCTCCTGTGCATTCTTCGAACCTTGGAGCTTGTTTTTTTTACTCTTTTGTATATCTCTTACGCCTTTAAATTCCCTTGACAATCACTGATCTCGCGTAACCTCATATCTGTTTTGGTCTAATCTAGTTTCTGAAATTTTTTTACAACACTCCTCTCCTTTTACACTTTCAGGACAGTCGTAAAAAAATGTTGCACTAACGTAGTTATTCAAAATATATAGAACAATTATGCTCACACTGATCAGTGGTCTTGAATACCTCCAAATTTTTACTTTTTTAAAAAGAAACAATATTTAATATTTTGCTATTTATTTCAGGTTTTCTATCTCTCATCAATGATCTAAACTATCTCAATTTTTATATATTCTCATAATT